AAATGCGCATGCGGTTATAATGCTAATTAGCACAAGCTTACCTCGACCGCGACCGGGCAGCTTGCTCTGTGTATCTTGAAGGCATAAGAAGTCACAACGAAGGGCCTCCCGCATGCTATTTACTACTGTAGCTAGTCCGTGTCAGACTCTCCGCGAGCTACTAGCGTGGATACCACGAGTAACGCACATTAAAAGCCCAGCCCATCAATTAGTGGTATCGCGCGTGCGCAGTTCGCCGAGGGTTTGCACTTCAGTGCTTTTCATTTGTTTCTGTAAGCATACCTAAAAATAATTTTTTTTTGGAAAAAGGTTTTGTGAGCATGGTCGGACTCACGCGTGATAAGCCAAAACCAAAGTATTAACGGTACTTGTTGAGTTTTCATGTGAAATTCACATATTATTGGGTTATGTGGTTCTATTGTGCTCAGATATTTCACTGACCGTTATGTGTGTGAACTGGTTAACCCCTTACACGTGTATTCTACTACATGTATACACAACTGCGGTGCAGACAGTTTTCTGTGTGTATGGTTAGTATAGTACCTGGTTATTGTCTTGTTCCTCTTGAGGTCTTGGTGATGGCCCGGTCTGCGTGATCACCTCTACAGCCACTTCACTCACACCACCCAGTCTCGGACAACCATTCTTCAGCTGTAGGCCCCCAAAATGAGGTGATAGCTAGTTTTTCAGGCACACACGTACACAACGCTACACACTTAGTTCTATAATGCTGTTACAAACTAGTGAGTGATTTTTTGTGACGCACAGACCTCCATGTCCACATCGAAGTGTCTATTGAAGAGTGTGTGGAATATCTTCTGGGAGTCGGCCAGGAGGGGTTCGGAAGGCTCCGCCCGGGCGGGGTCTGAGAAAGACCTGAGAGCCAGGAAGACAGTCTGCATCACGTTCAGCCGTGCCTCCACGACTGCCATGGCAGGCTGGGCCCCTGGACTGAGGGCACTGTACACATGCTGCTTGAGGGACGGAAGACACATCACATCTCTGAATAAGATAGATATGAAGAAAGGGTGAATATAAGAAGACACAGGTGAAATACTCAGACACAGCCCAATATTTTAACCAAGCAGGACCTTCTAGTTTGGCAAACCTACCGAACTTTAAACACTGCAAATGCGAGAAAAAGGTTCATCAATAGTAGCACTATACAGACTTCGCTCACCAAACATGCATTGCATTGTCATCATGTGCCACTACATACCTGTATGCCCTGTACCACATCAGCATCTTGTCAGGGTTGTTGATCAAATTCGGGGACGAGGGTGACTTCTGCCCAAAGGCGGCGCCCACGAGAGCGTTGAAGAGGTGACCGACCACAAAGGCTGAGAGGTGTTCGGGGGTGCCAAGTGGGTGCTTCGTCTCTTGTACGACGTCCACCAGCTGCTTGGTGGGCGACGCCACGAGGGGGGAGAGCGCGTTGGGGGCCGCACGAGACACGTGCTGTATCCGATCCAGTGGACGCAGGACGGTGGCCATCTTGGCGAGCTCCAGGTGGTAGACGTTCATGTAGACGTGGAGTTGCACAACCATCTCGAGCGCCGTCTTCTCCTCCTGCAGCTGCGTGAAAAAGGCCCGAAGGATGCGCTGGCTGATGCCCTCGCAGCTCTCCAGGTGGAGGGTGCGGGCGATGAAGTCACTGAAATAGTAGTCCCAGATGACAGGGTTTTCCTCCTGTGCCTTTAGTGAGTGAGCCAGAAAACTCTTCTCTTCACTCTGTGTAGGGATAAAAGACCTCTACCGTAATGTGTATGCAAGACACCAGGCGAGAAAAAAATAAACACTCCAAAATCATGCGTTACTTTTATGCTTCACCAAACCGTATTTCAGTGTGAATTAGCAAAGCACCACACTGCATATTGTGAAACCTGACTGCACTCTAACACATGTATGTACCTCGACAATGACTTTCAGTTTTCTCACGACAATTTCCTTCAGATGTCGGATCAAGGACTGTTGGTTGGTGAGTCCCCTGTACGTGATAGACAGCTCAACTCCATCCGTCTCCAGGTCTCCCATGATGTTGGTCTTGGTGTTTGCCTCCTCGCGCGAGTCCTCGACCAGCCTCTCCACCTCCCCCGACACAGTCTTGAAGAAGGGGAACTGCGGGAGGTAGCTGGCCTCCTTCCCCAGCTGCGGGTGTGCGCTGCGCACCTTCAACTCAGAGAGTTTCGGGATCTTGAACACGCGGACAATGTCGAGGAAGAGGGACTGGGTGGGTGGGGTACAGGAGGGCAGGAAGAGGACGTCAATGTTGCAGTCCTCGTTGATCCGGGAGATCATGTACACGAGAAAGTCAAAGAATAGACTCTTGAAGGTTGTGTGGATCGAGTCCGTGATGTTCAGGGTCGAGTCCTTGCTCCTTGTGAAGGCTACTGCTTTCTCTAGATACTCTGACATTACGTTCGGCTTCCAGTAGGAGCGGAAACGCTCGCATAGCACGTTGCCCACGCCCTTGTCAAAGAGGAGCGTCTTGAGTATCTTTGTGCGCTTGGAGCCACTCATTTTCATGTTGAAGTGTCCGTTATAAACGACGCCGAAGAAAACGCGGGAGGCCAGAATAGGGATGGCCTCGTTTAGAATCTCCTTCAGAGTGGTGATAAGGGAGTCTTCGTCGGGGGGAGGGAGGGTGTCGGGGAGGAAGCAGCAGTCCCAGAACCATCTGCGGATGTCGATGACGCCTGTGGCAGTGCTGTGGGCCACCGTGTCAAGGTAGCAGTGGTCCCAGCCTCGCAGGAAGAGGGAGGGATAACAGGCGTTGGCAAACTTGGACGGCGGGAAGTGAAGAAGGAGGAGAAACAGTTTCTGTTTCCGGTCCTCTTTGAGCAGCAGAGCCTCTTCTTCGTCGATCATGATTCGGATGTGGTTGATAACCTGCTGTCGGATCTCCTGCATGTTGACCACTAGTACGAGGACCTCGGCCGTGTCGGAGTGGACAAAGCTGCGCAGGAGTTCCAGCACGTGGCTCTGCGAGGGGATGTTGGAGAGCTTGCACACCATCAGCCTGTCCACAGCCTCGTGAACCAGATTCTGTACGAAGAGTGAGACAAAGAATTTCATACACCTTCGCAAAAATGCCACTTGGGGCAAAATATGAATCATATAGACAGGCGCATGCGCACTGCTACGGCCGCGGGTGCACAAGCGCATGCTCACTGCTACGGCCGCGGGCGCACAAGCGCATGCGCACTGCTACGGCCGCGGGCGCACAAGCGCATGCGCTAGGTCTCTCGCCGACTAACTTACGCAACCAATATCTGCAGAGAAAGAGTTCACTCCTTAGGCCAGGTTCACAATACCCCGCCTGCCCAGTCACCCCGTGCCGCATCGTGCCGCGGAGGTAGAAATGGGATTCTATTCTCGTAGCGATGCAACGTGGCATGGCGCAACAAGGCAATGCGACATAATTACTGTGAACCTAGCCTAACCCACACAATTTTTGGCTAGTTAAATATGTATCTATGTACCTTGAGAGTTTGCTTGATGTCATCGTCACTCTGTCGTTCGAGGGCATGGCTGGGGTACTGTGCCGGGAGCTGGTGAATCAGCGGAGAGGAGCGAGTGAAGCACAGGACCTTGGACGTGGGAAATTTAGGCTCCCTGTCCAATGGAGAGGTAAAATCTACTCATGATAGCCATAATCATATAGAGGCTGCGCAATATATCATAGGATGGACAAAACACACTTATCCACGATCGAAAGTCGCTAAGACACACCCGTGCGGTCTCATACGCTTACATACATAGGCTATATAGCTTTTGATAAGTACAAACCATTTGTTGGCTAGTCCCGTCAGGTATCTGTCTATGAGACTGGTGAGGGAGAAGTGGGCCTGATGAACGAGGTAGTTCTCCAGGTAGGAGAAGGGTATCTTGGAGCGGTGTTCGGTGAAGGCCTCCAACGTCATGAGCTGCATCATTCGCTTGGTCAGGTGCCGCACCAACCACTGTTGCAATAGCATCACCACCAGGCAACCCTGCAGACAACACATTAGACACGTGATATTCCGATTCTCCATCTCCAAATCAAATGATACTGTGTGTGTACGTACCTCTGGGGAAATGTCCAAGTATTCGACCCGGTCAGTCTCTGGTCAGGTCAGGAGCAGTGTGCAGCTTGTTCACTGCCTCGTGGACGGCATCCTTTGCCCTGTGGTGCTCAAGGTCTTTCATAATCCCCTGGAACTCTGGATCACACTCAACAATGGCAAAAACCTGCTCAGCATCTGACTGCAACTCGTCAACTGGCACCTAAAGCAACGGCATAGCGATCTCAGCGACGTGTAACAAGCAGAGGTTTGATCTTCGCGACGTGTGTACATATATAGAGTAATAGTCCTGCACATTGTCAGCATGCCAAAATGTTAAAGTATATACTTGCGGAGAAACTCCTAGCCTCAGTTGCAAACATACCTGAGTGTGGAGATCTCCTAAGGTATGTATGTACACAAAGGTATAATATACTGCATATTATTACAAGGAGTATGCACGTACAAATGGGATGTGAAGTCCTGAGCATCTCCTGACATACTGCACCAGCAGTCTCAATGTGCACAGTTTGATGTCATCCGAGGTATCATACAAACTCGGCTCCTTCTGACAGTGGAACCCAAAGTCAACCGGAGGCAGGAGACTCAATATGAGAGAGTTGACTGTGTCCAACTGATACCCATACAGTCCATCCGGACCAACTTGCTTCACAAAGTCCTCTACCTATGATGTATATGGGATACGCATACATAGGTACACAAGTCAGGAAATTTCAAGAGGAATGGCGCTGTGCCATGTGTCTTCAACGAGGTCAAGGGAAATCAAAGGCAAACAACACACCTAGGACAACTCTTTTCTTTCTAAGGAAATATTCTTCCCTAGGTGGGATTTGAATCCACGACACTCTGCACTCTAGGCGAATATCATTGGACGTTTGGGGTGTTAAACGGGGAAAATTTTGTGGTTTAGCTACATAAGTACGTAGAGCATGTCTGTAATTTTGGGTTGAGTACCTTTTCCTGTGCAGCCAGAACCACTCTCTTGAGACAGGGAGGGAGACGGGTGAGGGCGGTCTCCAGCAGTGTCTCGTGGGTGATGCAGTACTTCTCAAACCGGTTGAGGAACGGAGCGGGTGTGTGGACCACCTCAGACTTCTTCACCACCACCACACACTGGAAGTTGGGGTCCACTCGGCACGGTCGCAGGTGGGCCCCGATGGCAATGTTTGTGTAGTAGCGGCGACCCCCTTGTTGGTCGTCGATGCGACGGAACCGTTGGTTGAAGAGGTCGTAGAAGCTTTCGTGGATGTCGTCCGTCTGGCTCATGACGACCGTGTGGCCCTGTATGGCAGAGTGGCGGATGGCAGCTATCGTGTTGATCTGGAGGGAGAGAGAAAGAGCAGTATGTAATTGAACATCACAGGATAAGGTGCATGCATATTATCCATCACAAAGTAACAAAGTGATGTCCCCAACGGAGAGAAACACACCTTCTGAATTTGGCTATCTCCAGGGAAGTCGCTGCATACATACATCCTGGTGTTCTGTCTGTCCAGAACTCCCAGGGAGAAGAGGAGGCGAATGAGCGAGTCGTCCTCCGAAGGATCGATGATGAGTTTATATCGGACCTCGTTCTCGGACATGTCTCGTCCGTCCCATGAGGGTCGGTCACTGAGGCTGTCCTTCAGGACCGTTAGTATGCTCCGTCTCTGCACCAAGGCATACTGGCTTCCCATCTGCAAGGAATTCAGTAGAGAGCAAGATTTCCTTAATACAGTTGGAGTACGGAATAGTAACATACACTGTATCTCACTGCACCTATCCTTCACCAATCCTCCGTACCTCACTGTCCCTCTGCCAATACCCCCACCTCCCAAAAAGGGTGTCAATGATTTCGCATTTTTTTGGGACACAAGAGTGGAATAAGAGATAAACCAACTATGCGCAGTACTTTGGGTAGTGTTGGACTATGGAATGGTAACATCTTCTATCTTGCTGGACCTATCCCTATCTTTCCCATATTTCGCTGTCCCCCCTACATAAAGGTGTCAACGATTTGGCATTTTTCGTAGGCACAAGAGTGGAAGAAGAGACAAACCAACTTGCATAGTACTTTAGCCAGTGGTGGAGTATGGAATGGTAACATCTGCTATCTTGCTGCACCTATCCCTATCTCCCCCAAATTTCGCTGTCCCCCCTAAATAAAAGTGTCAACGATTTCGCATTTTTTGTAGGCACGTCTTTGGAACAAGAGACAAACCAACTATCCTAATACTTTGACTACAGTTGGAGTATGGAATAGTAACACATTGTATCTCACAGCACCTTTATGTATCTCACTTTACCAATCCCTTATCTCACCTATAATCTGTCCCACAATAAGGGTATCAATGAAAACCTTTTGAAACTATCCAATGCTAGAACAAATGAGCAACACGGCGAATGTGAACCACTCTACACAATGGTGTAACATCCGCGCAATATTGCAAACAGAAATGGGAGAGCAAGGTGGACATACTGAAAACCAACTTCAAGCTAACTATGTGTAATCCTATTGACATGGACTCACAGCAATCATAAAGGATTCGGCAACTTTGTCAAACTGCTCATATCCATTGAAGTTCCTCTCCAGAGCCTCCATCACCAGCTGCTCATTGAGCATCATGCCACGTCTCCTGCGCAGGTAGTTGACAAAGTGGATGAAGTCGCGCAGCCCAAAGAAGTGGCTGAACGTCCTGTCCTTCATGAGCTGCGAGAACGCCGGGCAGAACTTCACGACAAGATCGAGGTCCTTCTGCAGCTCCGGTGGAGGAGAATCTAGCTTGGAAGAGAGGCACCCACGAGCCAGTGTTTTGAGGTCGTCCTCTGACGCTTCGGGACGAAAGAGGCACACGGCCCGGTTGCTCTTGGCTGCATCGAGCATGTGGTTGGTGATGGCAACGAAGGAGACCTCCTGACGGTCAAGGTGGTAATGAAGGACCTTGAGAGACTCGTGGCTCTCCTCGGGAAGCCCGGCCTCGTCCATGAACACCACGCAGTAGATGGGCAGCGAGAAACGCAAGTGGCTCCGCTGACGGTTGATGGCCCTCGAGAAGACAGTGTCTATCTCGTTCGAGGTGGTTCGACGGGAGCACTGGTAGAAGTGAGGGTCCAGAGAGTGGAATATCTCAGTCTTTCTGAACACCTTCTTCTTTGACTCCTGTCCTTTGAGGTTGGCGATAGTGAGGTTGAAGGAGAGCGTCTTTGATGAGCCTGGAGCACCCACGATGATGAGTGGAGTGTGGGTCCCCGTACAAACGACGGTGGCAAAGAGGTTCTCCTTCAGAGCCTGTGTCTGAGCAATGCCAGTTGGGAGCTCCATCTCTTTGATAAACCACTCGAGCTCCTCCTCAAAGGCACGGGAGAAGCTAATCTCCTTACCGTACTTTGATTTATCGATGACCTTTTTGAATGCGGCGCGGTACTTTGTGTTGAGCCTCATGTAGTAGACTATACCCAGCGAGACTAAGATGGCTCTACGGGAGTAATCGTCGTCTGTTCCGTGTTGCTTGCAGGTCTGATAGAGATTCTGGAACCACTGGAAGAAGGTGAAGACCCTCTGGATGTCCCGCTGGCTCACACAGCTCCGGGAGGATATCTTTGCCTCGCCTGCCGTCATTGTGTGAGTGAGCTGCTCGCAGGCGTACTTCCTCATCAACTTTTGGCTCTCCATGATTAGATCCGTGAGGCACGCTACGTCCCCATTGGCCATATCCCGGTTTAGCATCTTCATCTTGGCGTTGATGTACTCCCTCTCCTGGTGTTCGTCCAGGGATCCGTAGTCCCATTTTAGGAAGTCGAGTGTCGGGTGTAGCTGACGGACGTAGTAGGTGCTGCGGGTCCAGCCCTCTTTGGGGGAGGCCTCTTGGCTGACCTGGCTGTGGGCCGCCAGACTGTTACCTCGGTGAGGGTTGCAGGCTGCCACTATGAATACGTTATCAGGTATGGGCTGAAAATAGGTTATATGTTAACGCACGATACAATCAATTTGCATCTGTATACCTCTCCATCAAATGTACGGTCCACTATAATCTCCTTGAAAAGACCCAAGCACGAAGACGTGTTGACTTCATCCAGAAACACCTACAGTACATGTAATGTAGTATAGCTGAGCACTTGAGGGGAAACAACTCCATGTGTTTGCTTAAAAAATGCTTCGGCCCCTATTTGTACAGTGGTATATTTTTCACGTGTATACTGGACTTTCAAAGATGAGAAATAAGGAGAATGGTTTCAATAAAGAAAGTTTACACGCTTATAAAACTCAGGCTCTCTAGAGGTGTACGTACGGTAACGAAGGGAAGACGCAGGGAGGCACCCTTGTCCTCTCCTTGCTCGTAGGCCTCCCTGAGGGAGTCTGCCTGCTTAATGGCAGGCTGGAGGTGGCCCCAGATCTGGTCTGGGGTGAGCGCCGCATGGACGTTGATCTTGTAGAACGTCGACTTAACTTCTGACACCATCACAGCTTGCAGCAGACTGGCTGTGGTCTGGGGTGAGACAGAATAGCAAATAGAATACAGACTTCTGACATTGCATTCCGTGGAACTTGTACTTATCCCCAAAACTCTTCTGAAAAATTATCGTTTTATCAAGCATACAATACAGAGTGAGAGATCTACGTCATAATAATATGAATTTGTATGCACATGCTGTTGGTTAAGATTTTTGCTGGTTAACTTTCATACCTCAGCTTGGTCCGTATGTTGGCATACAGTGAACAGCTCAGTGAGAGACCTCTTGTCCCGCGTCTTTCCCTTGATGGTGAGCAGTGAAATGACAGGGATAGTCCTGCATTTTGAGGAGGTGGGAGCGGAGGGTGGTGTAGAACTTCCGGTCGATGAGGTGGAGTCAGGCAGCTGGCACAACGTGACGAGGTCGTCCTCTTTCACTGGTTTATCCACACTCAAATCTTCCACACACCTCAAGCTTTTCTGAAGGGAGAACGAGAGAGCAAGTGAGTGAGCCATCTTGTTTTAATACGTTTCGTGTCATAAGCCTTTTCGTGCATAGTAGTCCATATCATGACTAAATACTACCGCATTTAAATATAGGCCTGCAGAGCGCAGCAGGTAAATGTATGCGTGGCTAAGAGCCTAGAGTACTAATACACACTCATTATTGAGAAATGACGATCTGTTAGTGACACAGTATGTAAGTACACATTACGACGTATTATATATTGGCCAGGACATACGCACCATGTAGTCCTCCATTGCATCAGTGTTAGTGAGGTCCCCGAGCTCTCGTCTCATAAAGTCGAGGATCTGGTCCTTCTCCCTCCTCCACTGGTTGAGCAGAGACTGGTTCCACAGTTTGGAGAGCATCTCCACCAGAGCTGTCTTCCCCACTCCCTGTCTCTCCCTCGATGATCACCGGCACTCCACACTCATACCTTCAGTACAGTGGACATACAAAGAATGAAAACCAATCAACGCGAACTCTCCCCCTCCCACCTATCTTTACGAACACAAAGGGTATGAGAGTCAAGGTTTCACCACGAAAATCATTCGTTGGGGGATGCACGATGAATAAAAAAACGGTTGCATGGCTATTAAATTCTAATCCACAAAATTCTGTAAAGAAAACTGTTTCTCAAATCTGCCCCAAATGTGTCCATGCCAACCATACACAATGCACAGACCTCTCGTGTATGTTTAACATCTTGACGGTGTAGTCAAGAGTGAGCACGTAGTTTGACTTGTCGATGAGAGCCAGTCGCTTGTCCTCAGGCTCCAGTTCAACGTTGAGGGCTCTCGACAAATAGACGTCTAGAATCTCACGGCTGTACAATTGCCTATAGTTTTACCGAAATTCGAGCTACATACATGGCATACACACCTACACACACCAAGTATCACACATATTATCATACATTTGTGTAGGGTTTGCCTACTACTGTGCACAGCCATAGTTGTTACTACAGGAACTCACATCATTGAGGGCATTACCACTCTGATCTTCTCAAACTTGGCTTTGTCTTGTTTGGGCAGTTGGTCAGGGCGCAGAGAGAGGAGACCAAAACTCCCTCCGCCGTCCTTGAAGTCATAGATCAACTGAGAACAGTGAGCAATGTGTGGGTGAGAGCGAGGAAGAACATGTGAGATTTATATCGTGTTAAGGGACAAAGATGCGTCGGTGAATTTTCAACGTATAATGTGAAGTGGTTTAATAATAAATTTAAAACTTCAGGGTAATTTCTTCAAAAAATTTCCCCTGCAAAAATAATATCGTACTTGACAATTGGAAGGTGCTGGCTTTCTCAATAACTTATTATACCTGTTGGTGGGCCTTGAGGGACCAATTCTCTTTGATCTCAGGGTTGCAGAAATCTATCACCTCCTGCAGCATCGTGCTCATGAGAGTTGAGCCCAGCTCTCGAGTGTCAGTCGTCATTTTCTTCCCAGTGATTGGGTCGATATAGTACTCCCCAAAGCCAGTGTTGTAGTTGAAGGCTGGGAGACGGTCTAGAAAGGCACAGCGACGCTTCATGTACCTGAGTATCAACAGAGAAAGGTTATTTGCATATACACCAATTCAGCACACTAGTTTTTCCTATCCAAAAAATCTGCTTACATTAAAACAGAGAAAAGAAAAGCAAAAGCTCACTAAATAGCAGTTCGCAGGGAAGCATGAATTTGGTGGCCACACTGGGAATTGTAAAATTTAAACCCGCCAAAATTTTTGCAAAGTATTATGACATCAATGATTATTTATATGACCCGTTCGAGGTTATCGGGAAGTTTTAATAGCTGCCACTATTAGAGTGGTACATTATAATATGGATGGCATACTTGATGAAGAGTTTCTGTGTGACTTTTGGCTGTTCTGCAAACACAGGCCAGCTCCTCTTGAGCAGTTTGTGGCACTCTGGGTCAAGGATGTCGGGGTCTGTGCTGAACTTTACCACTTTTCCCACTGCAAGATTGAGACATATGTACATAAGATGATGCAGATAAAGCTTGTACAGGGATCAAAGGGCAACTGAAAAATGCTCTTCGTGGTGTTTCTAGTGGCGAGGGGATAAGGGATTCATTACTAAGCACAATATACCTTTCTATAAAGCCTCAACATGGACTATACATAATATGTAAGCCCACAACAATTGGCAACCTTTTGAAAGATCAATTTGTCCCCCGCCCGCAATTGTATAAGTTGCCCCTTTTCTCTGACAAGTGCTCAATTTGCATATAAATCTCACACATATCTCTGTAGAGTTTGTTGATTCCCTTCGATCGGCTCTGGTCTCTGAAGGTCCAGTAGGCCTTCAGGTACTTGCACACCAACTGAACGTCTTCGTCCACAGTATAGGAAGTGGTGGGGTCGATGACGTGGGGCACTCCCAGCATACCCAGGGCAGGAACCTCCTCCATGAACTGCTCCAGGGAGGCCTCGGGGCTGTCAGAGCTGATCCGCGAGGGAACCTCCACGTATATCCTCCATTCCATTCCGCCTGGAATGGAGACAGAGAGTCCCGTGACGGGGTCCTCCACGTAGCCGAGGAGGATGAGGTCGAAGAAGAACCAGCCGATGACCTTCATCAGCTCCTTGTAATTCCTGTCCTCACTCTCATCCACACTCTCCTGTGATACGATACAACAGTGACAACATGCTGCTAAACACATACAATGTCATCCATGAATTTGTGACAATATCTGAATTTTTACCGCATCACCAAAGGTTTTTGCATTGAAATTGAAAGCTTATTGCTATTCAGTACGCTGCTCTTATACTTTGAGCCTTGAGCCTGAAAGAGTATTACATGTGCCATACACATCGCTCAGAGAAAATGGTACTCTCCCTGCAAAATCTGCCACTTTACATGTCGTACGTGTACGTATAAACTGAGAAACTCACCCCAGGAGGTGACATGGTGAAGTTGAGAAAAACGGCGCAGTCCCTCTGGCTGGGGGGCAGGGTCCTCAGTTTCTTGATGGCGCTGAGTGGAGTGAATGCCTCGTTCACGGCGATGGTCAGACTGCGAGAACTGCTCTCCAACTGCTGCTTGATGTAGTGCGTCTTTCCGTCACCTGGACGAAATTTACAATTTTAGTAGTAGCTTTGAGATAGTGAAAGCTCAAAGAAAATTTTATGTATATATGGTGACTGTTTTAAGGTAGCTTAGTTTCTCTTTGCACTCTAGATAATGCACCGGATTGACGCAAACTTGAGCCAAAATGCAAACCTGCTTTCCCGTAGACCAGTTGAATCTCAGCAAAATTCTTCACAGCTTCCCTACACTTCTTTTGTGCTTCCTCAAACGTCATATTTGGACCAGCCTCCTGTTTGCCATTATACACACATTACGGTTGAGAAAATTATCACAAAGCACGCCTAAGGTGCATAAGCGAGCCCACGTACTCATCTAAAATTTTGCGATATTTCTACAGAGGTCTGCGGCATTGTATATCTGTAATAACGTGCAATTCCAAAATTCCGCAAAACACAATCTTCACAATTGCATTCACTTACTAAAAATGCGTCACATTCATCAATGTACCTTGTGTTCCTTTGGAAGAATCCAGGGGAGTTCCCTCAAGACAGAGGAGGCCGTTTCCACGAAGTGAATGGTGGGGAAAGAGTATTTGGCGGGAGTTACAACAGTGGCAGCTGCTTGGCCGGTGCTGTGGGAGGGAGAGGGTTCGTGCTCGCCACTCTGGAGGTTCTCTCTCTCTGCCTGGTATTTCCTGGCCATCTGCTGGATCTTCAGGTAGCACTGCATCAGGTACTGCAGGGAGAGGTGTCGCATAGCATGGGATGTGCAGGGACAAGTGTTAGGATGCGCGCAGCAGGGAGAAGTGTTAGGATGCACGTGGCAGGGAGAAGTGTTAGGATGCGCACGGCAGGGAGAAGTGTTAGGATGCGCGCAGCAGGGAGAAGTGTTAGGATGCACGCGGCAGGGAGAAGTGTTAGGATGCACGTGGCAGGGAGAAGTGTTAGGATGCGCGCGGCAGGGAGAAGTGTTAGGATGCACGCGGCAGGGAGAAGTGTTAGGATAGCGCGGGCAGGGAGAAGTGTTAGGATGCACGCGGCAGAGAGAAGTGTTAGGATACGCGCAGCAGGGAGAAGTGTTAGGATGCGCGCGGCAGGGAGAAGTGTTAGGATACGCGCGGGAGGGAGAAGTGTTAGGATGCACGCTGCAGAGAAAAGTGTTAAGATGCACGTGGCAGGGAGAAGTGTTAAGATGCACGCAGCAGGGAGAAGTGTTAGGATCCGTGACGGCAGGGAGAGAGTGTAGGATGCGCGCAGCAGGGAGCATAGCACACGAGATGCGTATGGCACGATGTCCAGGTACACGAAACCACATCATGTTCCGCATGAGTAATGAGCATGTGGAGTGTAAAACTGAAAAATGCCACGTTCTAAACTTCCAATGTGCTTTATTTGGCATAACACACTTATGAATTCATCAAAGTGGTTCTGAAAGTGTTTTAAACACTAATGTATTACAGCTCACCTCCTGAAGTCTGAAGGGTAGTTTGTTGACCTCCAGAATGAGGTACCTCAGTGGCTGTTTCTCCACCCTCTCCAGAAACAGACCCAGCTCCTCTTGCGTGGTCGACGCTCGGCAGTGGAACACCTCGAATGACTCGGGCACTCCGCCATAGATGCCGACGATGAGTCGCACCAACTGCGACTGCTGATACTTGGGGGCGTGGTGGAGGAACTGGTTGCCGTCGGAGACACCAGGGAACTGAGTGAGCGCTGCTGACACGTCGGATGACCTTTGTACTGCGTCGTGGGAGGGCGTGGTGTTGTAGGAGATTGCCAAGGAAACCACCCACTATCTCTATGGCATCGAAATTATTTTTGATGATGTTGTACCAATATGGCAGACAATGCTGCAATCAACCATACAATAGAAGCTAATGGTCAGAACAAAAAACCCTTTCTTCTGGGAGTAATAGGCTACAATTTTTCTATATATATGTTACCATGTATAACCAAAAATACTGGCAGTGCACTACTAGGTTTGGCAAATTGACGGTCACTGTGGATACCACTTATACTGTGCATAGTGGGCAAAACATTTTACTATACGGCAATTCCAACCATGACTGCCACATTAATGAAAAGCACTAAAGTGCAAACCTTCGGCGAACTGCGCATGCGCGGTACCACTAATTGATGGGCTGGGCTTTTTCTTCGTTGTATATCCCGCTAGTAGCTCGCGGAGAGTCTGGCACGGGCTAGCTACAGTAGTAGATTGCATGCGGGAGTTGATACATGCCCTTCGTTGTGATTTCTTGTGCCTTCAAGATACACAGAACGAGCGGACTCGGTCGAGGTAAGCCTGTGCTAATTTGCATATTAGCTCCTTGACTTGCTTTTCACGCCATAACTTTCGAACGCAGCATTTTTACCAAAATCGCTATTTTTAAAATAAAGCCAGTGTGGCACTGAACCCGTTGGTATCGCTTTTTGGCCGTCTTGTTGCGCGTAGCGGGAGAAAACGTGGTAACAGACAGACGGACGGAATGACAAACCAAGTACTATAACCCTCTAGCGCATGCATTCCGAGGGTTAATAAATGGTCGCCTTCTAGTCTACAGTTTTCCCCACGTATAACCAGAAATGCTGGCAGCACACTACTAGACTTTGCAAATTGGCGGTCACTGTGCATACGAATTATTGTGCATAGTAGGCAAAAATTTTACTATACGCCAATTCCAACAATGACTGCCACATTAATAAATGGTCGCCTACTATACAGTACTTATGTGACATATATAATGGAAGCTCACCACAATATTCTGTTTGAGCTCTTGTCTGACACCCGGCTCATTGGTGACCAGAAACATGACCTCCCTGACCAGTTCATCAGCAACATCTTCCTCTCTCTCCTCGGAGTATGTCTGGATCAGTTTGAAGAGAAGCAGCTGCTTTGGGACACTGAAAAACAGGAGCATCCGGTGTTGGCCGCGCAGTTTAGTGACAGACTGTGTCCAAGACGTCAATTTCGACTCTGAGTCTGTAACCTATGGCAGCCACACAAGATAAACACAGTGTAGATGCATGTAGCAACTGGTCACGGAATGGTCTTCAATATGTATTGATCCTACGCTAAAGTCATTGAAAAGACAGGCAAACCACCCCTTCCCCCAAGCGTCAAAAAATTTTAATGTAGAATTATTGCTATAATATTTATGTATAGTTAAGAAATTGTTGAGTTGTAATTATACGTATGTACCATTCCGTCAGCATGGTAAGAGTCGATACTGCAATCCAGATAACGCATCTCCCTTGGCTTCAAGTATTCAGGGTGGCCTAGGTCCTTCAGGTGAATGTGGAGTTCTAGCAGCTTATTGGCCACCTGAGGAGGGAGATCAGTCAACACTCATTGATGTACATTGGGTTATGTTGGTGTCTTGTATATGAGGCTATGCTAACCATTCAAATGGGTATTGATATACCTCGTTGATGTGAAGGAATGTTTTGATCTTATCTCCGCCTTCTTTCTGAGTGTCGAGGAACCCCAGCTTCCTCACGAAATCGTTGATCTGTTCCCTCGTCCAGTTCTCCATCCTGCTGACCAGCTGTGTCCCGTTCACCACCCCCGTCTCCTGGAAAGACTCAGAGGCGTAAGTCCGGGAGGTGACGCCGTCCTCCCCCATCGAGGAGGGAGGCAGGGACGGTCTGGCAGAAGGCGTGTACTCCAGAGTCATGCTAGCCTCGCCGCCCGAGGCTCCAGATGATAGGGTGAAGGTATACTGACCCGTGTTGATGATACACTCCAGTTCGTTAGCCACATTTTGCAGGGTGTCACCCTGAAAATGAGAAGTATAGAGGGCTACAACATTATTGTACTGTGGGGAACCTTAAAGGGCAGAAAATCGTTACAAAAATAGCTGACTTCGGGCACAAAATTTTGACAAGGCACATGAGAGGCTCATAATGTACTACTAACTAGAGCTGACCAGCCAGCAAAATCTTACTCTAAAACTCTAACTTATTATACATTCGAA